TCGCTCAAATACTCCTTAAATGCTGTGATTATAGTAAGTATGTTACCCGTAATAATAAGATCATCGACATAAACAAGAACATGGAGCTGGATATTCCCATTCGCCAATGTGAACAAAAAATGATCAGATCCATTTTGTTTGAACCCATAGTCCATCAAAGCAGTAGCAAGTTTGGCATTCCAACATCTAGGAGCCTGTTTCAAACCATACAAAGCTTTGTGAATACGACAAACTTTGTTCTTTTTCATTGTGCAGAAACCCGGAGGAAACTGCATGTAGACTTCATCATCTAGATCCCCATGAAAAAACGCATTATGAAAATCCATTTGATGAACCTCCCAATCATTAGATGCAGCTTGTTGTAGAAATGTCCGAATACTAACCATTTTAGCAACAGGTGCAAAAGTTTCGTTATAATCAACACCTTTAGTTTGATTATTTCCGAGAACAACTAAGAGAGCTTTGTGGCGCTCAAGTGTTCCATCAGAGTTGAATTTCAGCTTAAATACCCACTTGCAACCAAGAGCCTTTTTCCCTGGTGGTAAATCTTCAACCGTCCATGTACCAAGATCTTCGAGAGAAACCATTTCATTTTCGACAGCAAATCACCAGCGTTCGTCTTCGATTGCCTCTTTGTAGCTTTTGGGTTCCACAGCAGAGGTAATAGCGAAGATGTAGGCCTGGTAACCTGGCAAAAAATGAGCACTCAACAAGTAATTGTCAATCAAGTATGGAGTAGCAGACGGATATGGCTCATGCAAAAGTGTGCTGACAAAATCTGCGAGCTTCGTGGGCCTATTTTTCCGTCGGTGACCTCTACTAAGAAGTTCGGGTTTAGATGTAGCGAGTGACTCAATTGGAATATCTGTAACTTCTATCGTAGGAGCATTTGCAACTGGAGAAGTTTCAATGTTTTGAGTAATCGCAACATCAGAGGTGAAATCACTATCATCACTAACCAACTAAGCTTCTGAAGTATCATGAGTCGGCTGAGCAGGGATTTCTGAGAGTGCAGTAGCAGTCGAACTGTCCACTGGAGGAGATGCATCAAGAGAGTGTGTCTCCAGAGGTGCTGTAATTTCAGTGATCCTATCAGATGATACAAATATCTCACCATCATCATTTAATATTGCAGGGTGTGGATCTGTAATGTCGATTGGTGGTGGAGGAGTGGATGATGGAGAAACAAAGAATGGGAACTCTGTTTCACAAAATATTACATCCCTAGAAACGGAGACGACTCCAGTCTCAAGATTGTAAACTCGCCAACCCTTCTTTCCGAAAGGATATCCAAAAAACACAGATTTATTTGTCTAACTCGCAAATTTATCGCTACCATGCTTTTGGTTGTGTACATAACATAAACACTCGAACACTTTGATGTGATTCATGGGTGGTGGTTTATTATATAACAGTTCAAACAGAGTCTTTTCGTTGAGGAGTGATGAAGGCGTACGATTTATCAAGTAACTAGCCGCGAGAGCACAATAACTCCAAAATGAGATAGGAAGATGTGCTTAAAATCGAAGAGCACGAGCAACGTTCAACAAATGCCTGTGTTTTTGTTCCACTCTGCTGTTTTGTTGTGGAGTTCCGACACACGAAGTCTCGTGTATAATCCCTTTCTCAGCAAAATAATCATGTAAACAAATGAACTCCGAGCCATTGTCACTGCGAAGTATTTTGATTTGGCTATTGAATTGGCGTTCAACAAGAGAGATGAAATTCTGTAAGTGTTGTGGTGCAGCTTGTTTAGATGGCAAGAGGTAAATCCAAACAGCTCGAGTATAGTCGTCAAAGATCGTAAGAAAGTACTTAGACCCACAAATCGAAGTTGTCCGATATGGACCCCATAAGTCACAATGAATCAGCTCAAAACTCATACTCGTTTTATAATTACTCAAAGGAAATGAATCTCTAGTTTGCTTGGCACGGAGACATACTTCGCATGCCTTGAAATAAAAAAACACCACTACTTATATCAGATAAATGCAACATCTCTAAAGCTTTGGAAGAAGGATGTCCTAAGCGACTATGCCACAACTCCAACGACGGTGAGTCTAAATGCTGAATCGCCGCAGCCACTTCGATTCCTCTAAAAAAAAATAATCCATTCACTTTCTCATCCGCTTCAATCAGCGTCCGAGTGATGCGGTCCTGGACAACACAAAAGCGATCAGAAATCTGAAATATGCAGTCCCTATCTCTAGTCAGTTGAGATACAGAAATCAGATGACAATGCAACCCATCAACGAAGAAAATGTTATGAAGTTTCAGATTTGATCCCATATAAACATTCCCTTGTTTATTTGAAGTAGTAAATCTTCCATCCGGAAGTTTAATCATAATCGATGCCATTTTAGATATATCGGAAAAATAATCAATGCTTCCTGTCATGTGATTTGATGCGCCTGTATCAATTATCCAAGATTAAAAAAAAGAACATACCCGTAAACGGATTATTGGTGGATGTCTTCTGTTCATTCAACATAGCGACCAATGTGTGCCACTGCTGATCATTGATTCCACAGAAACTGATTCAATCTGCAGAAATGAGAGCAGCATTGTGTGAAACAGAGGCTGAAGGACCCTCATGTGAACCAGAAGCACCAGACGCCACAGAAAGATTGTTGACTCGAGCAGGCTCAGAATGCTTCCTACAAGATGGAGAGGGAAACAGACTCGGTGCAGAGGAAGCAGGTGCTTCCGCAGTTTACTTAGACCGCGAGCGCTCACCTCACCATGGTGGATAGCCGATTTTGCGGAAGCACTTGTTGGCAAGATGACCATTCCGACCACACAATGTGCATATGACTCGGCCATCTTGAGGAGTGGATGATCGAGCTTGTGTTTCTACCGCAAAGCTCACACCATTAGATTGTTCTTCATTTAAACGATCCAACGCCTTTGATTTTTCATCATGAGTAAGCACATTATATATTTCATCGAGTGAAGGTAGAGGAGTTTGCGAGAGAAGAGCAGACTTGACTCCACCATACAACAACTCATCGATTCCCATAAGAAATTGATGAAGTTTATCTTCTTCACGCTCATTTGCAATCTCTTCTGCAGTTTTGGCCTTTTGATAATCAGCAAGGCTTGTCCAGAGCTTTGTGAGTTTCCCGAAGTACGTCTCAATCGGTATGTCTTGTTGACGACACGTAGCAAGTTTGGTTTTGAGTCGTTGAATGTGATGGCCATTCTTAACTACAAATTGCTTCTGAATCTGCGTCCAAAGGCTGTACGCATCATCGCAATATGACAGAGATGTGCACAATGTTTCATCAATGGTAAGTTTGATCCATGCTATGACAAGAGCATTGTTTGCACATCAATCTTCGTAATCAGCAGAGTTTTCATCCGGTTTTGGAATCGAACCATCTGCGAAACCGAATTTCTTCCGTGCATGCAACGCCAGCCGGAGACTGTTGGACCACTCATCGTAGTTGGGTCCTCGCAGCAACGGCTTTAAAATTTTAGATGTTGTAAATCGGTTTTCTTATTGCTCAAATTATGAAAACAATGCTTTATATATACAAATTTATTAGTACCACAATTTAAGCTTACATTGATGTGGAGTAATACACTACTATATGAAGACTTTATGTTGGCCCAATAATTGGGTAGATTCTGAGCCAAAACTCATTCTTTAAGATTTTGTAGAAAATAGGATATTCTTACCATTTAAAATGCGTACAGTGATAAAACGTAAACGATAGTCCATGGTTATTTTTATATATCGTGAAACTCGATCATGACTTTGACTCACTAGGCGAAATCCCTACACATTTGAACAAAACACGGGACACATGCTTTTTGTTCAGAGTTTAAGATTATACTTGGTGAAATTCCACTATGATTTGACCCGATATTCACGGTTCGCATACACGAACATGTGCATAGTGGCGAAGTACCTTACCCACTGACAACGCCGTGTAATTACAACATATCAACATATATAGAATTGCTCCAAAAAAGATAATGAAACTTAGTCAAAAAATTTTTGTTAAGGGAATAAAAAATTATATTTAAATCTGAATCTTTGTTCTTAATAAGTCTTATTAAATCACAAAAGCTGGATCTTTTTTCTTATTAAATCGAATGCTATTGACGAAAACTGTTTGATGTTAGGTAATAGAAGGTTTATTGACCTGATTCGTCAGGGAATTCTTATGGATATCATATAAATGTATTTTTTGTGATGTTTGTGTGTCTGGAATGGAGATGTCGTAAAACAGGTGGAAAACTATCGAATTCATAGAAAATTGATGTTATTGTGATATCGGTCAAGTGCTCATCCCGACTCGCATCCATTTTGTTCTGCACTGTTTCTATTAATAGTCCTATTCGGAGTCTTTAGGCCTAAAGATATTTATAAAGATCTAATATTTTCTCTTTAATATCTAATGATTATTTAAAACTTTAGTATATGACATCTTTATTTAATTTTATATTAGATATAGTAATTTATTTTATTGTAGTTTGAAAAAACTATATTTTATTTTAATTATTCTGATTTAAGTTTCAAGGAGTGGCGGAGCCACTTGAATCAAGTCGGGGGAGAATGATCGCAATGAATTTTTTAAAATTAGTGCAATTTATCAAAGTCTAATAGTAATGCTCTCACTCATAAAATCATATACACTCCTAATTGTCTCCAATGAAAAAAAAACTGGCTCTACCACTGGATTTAGAGCCAGATCACGTAGATAGTACATGCACACCAGATTGAGTACACCAATTCTATTCGACAAGCAAATTAAATATCAAAAAGAAGCCCAATAAAATTAGATTTAGCAATGCTGCCATCGAAAGAATAACGCATATTAGAGCATTGACTTTACTATAAACCTATTAAGATTTCGTTTATAAGAAAGTAATGTGTGTGTTTGTGTCGGTGTACACACGAATTGTTAAATACCATTCATTAAAATATTCCAACTTGCAACGCATGCATGCTTTCTATAAAAGGAGGTCACATGAGAGGATACAATAATTCATTTCCCAAGCAAAGTCAAAGCAATGAAGGGAGATCTAAAGTGCATCAGTGGATTGTACGTTGGATTGGTTCTAACGCTCTATGCTTGTACTGTCATTGTACAACTCGATGCAGCGTCGGAAACCAAGACATGTTTCCAAAAGAAGAGCCCATGCTTTCTTAAGAAGCAGACTTGCCCAAATCAGTGCCCTTCGTTTTCCCCCCCCAACGGTAGCTCCAAGTCATGCGTCGTGGATTGCTCTAACCCTATATGCAAAGCTACTTGTCGAAGTAAGTAAAAAAAATATGCCATACGTTTTACCGAATGGTGTTCAATATGGATTTCGGTTTGGATTTTTTTTCTTCTAATATATTATTTGACTATTTGGTTTATGGAATAAGAATATTTAAGGCACAACCTAATTTATTATGGATCGTTTGTACAATTTCCGTTGTTCAGTGAAAATATCGTTTGTAGATTGATTTTCGTCTTTATTTATGTTTAGTTTGGATCCAGATTTAGGTTCTCAAATATAGAAAAAGTTAAAAAATTTACACCATATTAATATATAATTGATTTTTTAGGACTGATTGATTTGGTTCGGATTCGGATTGGATGGCATCGGTTTATCCAGATTGAAACACTCCTTTCATATTCCAGTTCTTCAAAATGATGTCGAACGAATGTTAACTAATCATATATTCATATTATGTTAACAGATAGAAAGCCTAATTGCAACGGTAAAGGGTCAGCATGCTTAGACCCACGTTTTATAGGCGGCGATGGCATCGTCTTCTATTTTCACGGTAAACGCGATGAGCATTTTGCTCTCATCTCTGACGTTGACCTCCAAGTGAATGCACGTTTCATTGGTCTCAGACCTTCTGGTCGGAACAGAGACTTCACGTGGATACAATCTTTGGGGCTGATCTTTGGCCCCAACAAAAAAACTTTCTCACTCGAAGCCACAAAAGCCGCAAAATGGGACCAGCAAGTGGACCATCTCCATCTTTCATTCGAGGGAACAGAGATCTCTTTACCAAAACGTGATTCATCGGCGTGGAGTGCTCCTGGAGGATATATTCAGGTCGAGAGAACTTCAGACATAAACTCCGTGCTAGTCACTATACCAGACATTGCCGAGATTTGGGTCAACGTGGTTCCGGTGACAAAGGAAGATAACATGATACATAAATACGGAAGACCTGAAAATGACTGTTTTGCCCACCTGGAAGTTCAGTTCCGATTCTTCAGGTTATCCCCAAACGTGGAAGGTGTTTTAGGAAGAACATACAGAGAGGATTTCAAGAATCCGGCAAAACCAGGCGTGGCTATGCCGGTCGTTGGTGGGGAAGATAGATACAGAACAGTGTCCCTTCTTGAAACAGGTTGTAATGCTTGTGTTTACTCAGGCGGCTCTGGAAGTTTAGACAAGATAGAGCCGTTGCTACTGAATCAAAACACCATTGATTGCACAGGCGGATCAAGCAGTGGTGTTGGAATCTTCTGCAAAAAATAAATACAAACGGCATGTTGGTGGATGGTGGTGTTTATAGTAGTAGTAGTTTAAGAATGAAGTTGGGTGTTTGAATAATATTTGTTAATCTTACCACTGTGTTTTGTCAACACTACGTGACATTGGATTAGTTTTTAAATCACTTTGAATACTTATTTTATGTTCACTATTGTTGTTTCTACTTTTATGAAATTTTCTTGTTTATTTTAATGATCAATTTGCCAAAAAATACAAAAAAAAAATGAATTCCTAAAGACAATCCTACAAATTTTTGTGAGAACAAACTTCTACCATTTTCCCATGAAATTATGATAGAAAATAGAAGTGGTGAAATATTGATAGGAAACTACAAACTAAAGTCTTTGGTCTCGTAAATGTAATAGCCACAAGAGATCGAAAGGATTGCGATCCTCTCATGCGGCGATGAGATCTAGGGTTTTGGTGCGATCCTCTCTTCTGCGAGCAAAAATTCTCAAAAAGTAGATCGCATCTCTTCAAATCTGCATTCAGTGCTTTCCTTCACTGTTCATTAGTCTTTTGTGGCCTCTCTTTTGATTTTCTTCTAGCTACTTTCTCGGCCTCTCTCGATTTCCTCAGTCTTTTGTCCCCGAAAATGAATCGATCAAGAAGGAAGAAGGATCTCAGTCTAATGGAGGAGCTCGAGCAGCGAGGGCTCCTGGAGGAAGGAGAACCAGTTGATATTCCAGATCTGGAAAATGAGGACCTTATTGAAGAAAATACCATGAGTGTTATTGTAAGATGCATGAATCCAGCTGTTCACAAAGTCGGTGGTTTAGTCAAGGCCCTTCCTCCGATCTGGGGCATGGAAGACAAAGTGAAAGGAAGGGGAGTTAGCGATTCCACGGCTCAATTCATCTTTCAAAATGAAAGAGACCTAGACTATGTCATCACGAAGGGTCCTTGGTTCGTAAATGGATGGATTGTTGCTATTGACCAATGGGTTCCGAACCCTGGTCCTGACTTCCTTAAGCGAATCCCCTTTTGAATCCGCATTAAAGGGATCCCTATCCATCTTTTGAAGAAACAGGCTATCGAGAGTCTAATCTCTCCCCTTGGGAAAGTTGATGCGGTCGAGCTTCATGCGAAAAATTCTGACTCACTGGAGTATGTACGAGCGCACGCCTGGATCTGGGCTGATGAACCGCTACAATTTAGAAAGCTTGCTCGTTTCAGTACTGGAGAGAAGGTTTATACTGAGCTAACTTATGAGAAGCTTCTCAAGGCCTGTTTCCTCTGCAAAAGACTTACTCATGACCAAGACCAATGCCCATATCAGATACAACCTGAACCCTCGAGAAGAAGAGCCAACAACCAGGCTAAGGGTGTTGAAAAGAAAGTCTCTCAGGATAAGAAAAGAAATTATGGCAAAGAAATTATGCTGGAGAAACCTGCCCTGAAAACCTCTGATCATCGCAAGAAGGCACCCTCTATAACCACTTCCGGCTCTTCCCCAAACACATGTAATGTTAAAGAAGGACTCAAATGGTCGCACAACTCTGATTTCAGTGGAAAGCCTGCTCCGAGACTTGCTTGGAGGAAAAAGGAATTTGGAAGAGTCCCCAAAGGTGGAGAGAAAGGAAGTTCCTCGAGCCATAGAGAGTCAGTTCAATCCACCTTTAACAGATCAAGACCCAAAAGCAGTGATCCCCTTCCTAAAAGCCCCTCAGAGAATTTTGCTCATTCTGGATCATTCCAATCTCCCTCGGTCTTTGAGCGTCTAGGATCATCAAAACCTTTTTCAGCTGAGAAAAGTGGGAGCAAAGAGAAATCTCTGACATCCTCAAGCAAAGGCAGCAGTGAAAAAAAGCATCAATCATCGACGATTAAAGAAGTAAGTGACCCCAATATCTCGGTTTTCCACAGATTGGGTGAAGGGTCTTTAGAGTACGACACCCAGGAACATTGCTCTCAAAAGAAAAGAAGAGTCAGTAGAAGTGAGGAAAGGAAGTCAAAAAAAGCGAAGACTGACACTTCTCCCTCTGTTTTCAACCGTCTTGGAGCTTCTGGGACTCACTCCGGATCGAAGAATTCTGGAGGGAAGACTAACTCTGCCAGTATGGCAGCGCATTCTGTCCAAGTGACAGCCCAAGAACATGATCGCTTTGCCTTGAACAAGTCTGGTGATCATGGTAAATCTTTGAAAGAAGGGTTGATGGTTAATACCAACCCTTCGAACTCTCTATGAAAATTCTGAGCTGGAACTGCCAGGGGGTGGGGAATACCCCTACAGTTCGTCAAATGCGGGAAATACGAGGTCGGTATTTCCCGGAAATCACATTCCTCTGTGAGACCAAAAATAAACGTAGCTATTTGGAAAATGTAGTTGGGCATCTTGGATATTTTGATCTACACACTGTTGAACCTGTTGGTAAAAGTGGAGGGCTTGCTTTGATGTGGAAAGAGTCTGTAATTGTCAAGGTCCTGTATTCTGATAAGCGAATGATTGATGTAATGGTGATTTGGGAGGATAATGAATTTTTCCTTACTTGTGTTTATGGAGATCCTGTTAAGAAATGTAGGGGTTCTGTTTGGGAGAGACTAACTAGAATTGGATTGAACAGAAATGGACCCTGGATGATGACAGGTGATTTTAATGAGCTAGTTGACCCACGCGAGAAGCTTGGAGGAGCGGACAGAAACGATGATTCCTGCAAGGAGTTTAAACAAATGCTGTTGGATTGTGGCATGTGGGAAATCAAGCACTTGGGATATCAATACTCTTGGTATGGAGTTCGAAATGAGGAGTTGGTTCAATGCAGACTGGATCGAACAGTGGCAAACCAAGCTTGGTCCGAATTGTTTAGTCTTGCACAAGCGTCTTACCTTCAAAAAAACTGTTTGGACCATAGCCCAATTATTACTTGCCTTCTCGGAAATCACAGGAAAGAATGGGCTGGCTTTAAGTTTGATCAAAGATGGTTAAAAAAGGAAGGTTTTAAATCGGAGATTGCTGAAGCTTGGAAGACAGCAAAATCGACTAGAGGTCCCATTACCTTTTCGCAGCAAATCAAGGAATGCAGAAAGGCTATATCAACTTGGAAAAGGCGAAACAAGCCTAACTCATCTGTTCGGATTCAAGAACTCCATTACCAGATCGATCAAGCAACTCGACAAACTCCTTTCAATCAAGAGAAACTTTCTCAGCTGAAAAGACTCTTGCACCTTGAAAATCAAAATGAGGAGCAGTTTTGGAGAACCAAAAGCAGAGTGGAATGGCTAAATCTTGGAGATGGGAATACAAAATTCTTTCATGCCTCCACTAAATCAAGAAGGGCTCAGAATAGGATAAAAAAGCTTGTTGATGATCAGGGTAAAGAATGGTATGCGGAGAAGGACCTTGGAAGAGTGGCGGAAGCTTACTTTAAGAACATGTTTTCTTCTGAGGATGTTGGGGTTAACCTTAGTAACTTTCATGATCTCATGCTGAAAGATATGGTTGTTACCCGAGAACAAAATGAGAAACTGCTGGCTCAGATTTCTATAGAGGAGGTTCGCAAGGCTGTCTTTGATATCAATCCGGACAAGTGTCCTGGACCTGATGGGATGAATGGTCAATTTTTTCAACAATTCTGGGAAAGTATCGGAGAGGATGTGCACGGTCTGGTTCACAATTTTTTCACTAGTGGTCACCTAGAGCAGGAGCTAAACAAGACTAACATATGTCTCATACCAAAGAAGCTGTGCGCTGATAGAATGGCTGACTTTCGTCCGATCAGCTTGAGTAATGTAGCTTATAAAATTCTTGCCAAGGTGCTTTCCACGAGACTCAAAAGTGTGCTGCCAAGAATTATATCAGAGACACAAGCGGCTTTTGTGAAAGGAAGGCTCATCACCGATAACATTTTAATTGCTCATGAGCTCATACATGCTTTAAACTCAAAGAACAAGTGCTCTGAAGATTTCATTGCTATAAAAACTGACCTCTCCAAAGCTTTTGACAGAGTTGAATGGAGATTTTTGGAGATGGCGCTTTATGTTATGGGTTTTAATCCAGTGTTCGTCAATCTTATCATGACCTGTGTGACTTCTGTATCTTACCAGGTTCTCATAAATGGTAAAGCTCACGGTGAAATTGTGCCAACTAGGGGAATCAGGCAAGGAGATCCGCTCTCCCCCTACCTCTTTGTCATCTGCACTGAAGTCCTGGTTCGCAGATTAATGAAGGAAGAAAAGGAGGACAGACTTTCAGGTCTTAAGGTTGCAAGAAGAGCTCCTCCTATCTCGCATCTACTTTTCGCAGACGACAGTATCTTTTACTGTAATCATAGTGAAGAGGAGTTGGATCAGCTGAGTAGAGTTCTGGATGAATATTGCATTGCCTCGGGCCAGCGTATTAACTATCAAAAGTCAAGTATCTACTTCGGCAAGCTGATTCCAATGGACAGAAGGGAATGGATTAAAAATAAACTTGGAATCTCTCAAGAAGGTGGTGATGGCATTTACCTCGGACTCCCTGAAGCTTTTGATGGTTCCAAGGTCACCATTCTAAGCTATTTAAAGGAAAGAATGGATCAAAGAGTCTCTGGATGGCAAAACAACTTCTTATCTCAAGCTGGTAAGGAGGTGTTGCTCAAGGCTGTTGCTCTTGCTCTACCCACGTATACAATGAACTGTTTCCTCCTCCCCAAGACTGTTTGTGATCAACTTATCAAAGTAATGGCGGATTTTTGGTGGAAAAATAAGAAGGATGGAAGAGGTGTGCATTGGAAATCTTGGGACAAACTTTGCAAGCCAAAAAGTATGGGAGGAATTGGTTTTAAGGACATTGCGGCTTTTAACCTTGCACTATTGGGGAAGCAGTTTTGGAGATTGATATCTCAACCACACACACTCCTGGCAAGAGTTTTTAAAGCTCGATACTTTCAAGATGCAAATCCGCTGAACGTTAAACTTGGATCCAGACTCTCATATGCATGGAAAAGCATTTTTGCGGCGCAAAGCCTCATCAGAATGGTGCAAGTATCTCTATTTGGCATGAGCAATGGCTTCAATGTAAACCTGCTAGGCCGATCAGAGTTACTAGAGATGTACCTCCACATATGCGTAACATTATCTCTAATCTCAAGTACGTTAAAGACTTGATCGTCCCTGGTAGTAATGAATGGAATAGAGATCTATTAAGAAGCTTCTTTGTTGATGAGGACTGCGAAATGATTGAGGAAGTCAGACCGGGAGGTGTTTTCACCATGGACTCTT